AAGGTCGGTGGTTCAAGCTCACCAGCTGCTCCTTGGAAACCCTATATAGAGTCGCTATGGGTTGGAAAGGACTCAACGGCACTTAACAACAACAACAAAGTTGAGTTCTGATCATTAAGCCTTCCAAGCTAAGTCAAATGGGTGATATGCAAGCTAGGTCAAATGGGTGTTATGCAAGTTTGGGCATTCTTAGGCGCCCCCTCCCCTCTTTGCCCCAACTTCATATCAGCTGGATACTTCACTCTTAGCTTTAGCCATGTGAGTAGGTTAATGTCCATGGACTCAGGAGTTCCCAAGTGTCTGCAGACATTGGACCAACCAGCGCTTCCTCGTCTCACTGTCATCTCAAGGTCTGCAGGAGTCTATGGACCATGGTGGAACTCAGCCCATGTCTTCATTACTGTGTTTACTCCACTTCCACTCAACCAGTAGACCAGTGCGGTTACTAGCAGCTTACAGTCTACTTATGTGTTCCCTTTGCATTTCAGTCTTGAAAAGGGGTTTGTCCTGAAGAACTGACTTTCTTGAGCAGCCTAATTTTTAAGTTGATAATTTTGTGAATGATATTATATAGATGGATTTAATATTTCATAGGAATGTTCCCCACCCCTGCTCTAGGCAGAAAAGAGCTTTAAACTGTTATAATGCCAGTAGCATTGGGGGTGGGACTGCAGCAGGATTAGTTGGATAGGTATACCAGGTCTGCATTGTGCAGGACCCTGGTAGTTTGTAAGCCATTGAAGTGTTTAAGTACATATAGCATGGGAGAGGACTTGATTTTTGAAAAATCATTGTTTATGCAAACAAGTATATTGAGTTGTGTGAGAAGAAAAAAGATTCTTTTGGTATTCTATAAACAACTTGTTTTTTGGGGAAATTAATAGTCTTTCACTTAAAAAAAACTGAAATAAAAAAAAAAATTTAGTATGCTTTCACAATTATAAAACTACAATGAAAAATGTGCATTGTCATTAAAATATCTTGTTTTTTTTCAAGCTAATAAGCACAAGTGGGTACCACTCCATTTAGATGATGTAAGACCAGATTGTCAAGAAAGACCAGGATCACGGAATAGCTCAAGATGTCAACCTGAAGCAAATAAAGCAACATATAACAGTAGACGAAATGATACACGAAGTAAGTTTCATTTTAAGAGAGAAAGACAAAAGAACTTAGTCTTACTGTTAAAATAGAGAGTCCTGGTGTGGCGCTGCGGGTTACTGCTCTGGATTGCAAAGTCAGTTTGAACCACCAATTGGTGGTTCAAGTTCACCAGCTGCTCCTCGGAAACCTTGTATGGTTTGGAACCAACTCAATGGCATTAACAACATAAATAGATATAGAGATACAGATAATACATTTTGTGACACTAATTGCAATCCCCACAATGTTGTTATGCTTTGAAAAGTTTATTTTGTTATTGAGAATATACAGAGCAAAACCAACTCATTTCTACGTATATAATGCAGTGATATTGGTCAAGTGGTCATTCCTTCTCATCTCTGTTTTCTGAGTGGTGCCTTCCTATTTATTGTAAACTCACTGTGCCCTAAGGTTCCTATCAGATATGTTGATTCGCTGTTGTTAACTCAATCCCATGTAAATAAATCTTGGAGTCCTGGTGTGGCTCTGTGGGTTAATGCACTGGACTGCAAAGTCACTTAGAACCGTAAGGTCGGTGGTACGGGTTACCAGTTGCTCTTCAGAAACCCTATACAGGGTTGCTATGGGCTGGAACCAACCTGACAGCACTTTACTTTATGCAATGCTCAAGGCAAATATTTACTAGTATTTAAGCTAAACTATTCCTGGTGTGGTGCTGTGGGCTAATGCTCCAGACTGCAGAGCCATTTGAACTGCAAGGTCAGTGGTTCAAGCTCACCAGCTGCTCTTCGGAAACCCTATACGGGGCCACTATGGGTCGGAATCGACTTGACAGCACTTAACAACAACTCTGGTTTATGGGGGTCCTGGTGCAGGCGCTATGGGTTAATGTGCCAGACTGCAAAGCTGTTTGAACTACAAGGTTGGTAGTTCAAGCGCACCAGGTGCTCCTTGGAAACCCTATACAGGGTTGCTATGGGTCGGAACTGACTCGACAGCACTTACAAACAAAAACAACTCTGGTTTTTGGAGTCCTGGTGTCATGCTATAGGATAAGCACTGGACTGCAGGTCAGTTTGAACCTTGAGGTTGTCAGTTCAAGCCCACCAAGCTGCTCCTTGGAAATCCTGTACAGGGTCACTGTGAGTCAGAGTTGATTCGACCGCACTTATTAGCAGCAACAACTCTTTGATTTTAAGAAGATGTAAGCAGATATTTTTAAATGAAGGTTTAAAGATTATTTCATGGCAGTAGCTTCAGGGGTTTATCCAGCCTCCATGGCTTTAGAAATTGCAGAGTCCGTGAGAATTTCAGATTTATGTTCTGCATTTTCCCTTTTGATCAGATTTCTTCTGTAGAATCTTTAATGAAAATATTCAGTAATATAGCTGAGCCACCATCTAGTTCTGGTATCATGGCTAAGGAGGCAGTTATTCCTGGAGGCAATTAACCACATACTCAGTACCTTCGTTTTCTTTTGTTGCTACAGGCGGATAGAGACCAATTTTATGTGTCTTGGTAGGCTGCTTGCAAAGGTTTTAAGACCCCAGGTATACTATACAATGACCTAGGTGATAGGACAGAAGCATCCAACATGTTTTAGGCCAATTAACTGGGATGTCTCATGAAATATTGACCCTAAAACCTCCAGACTGAAGAATCAAATCCCATGTGGTGTTTGATTATACGTAAGCAGCTTCATCAGGTATTGTTTGTTGTTGTAGCTAAATTTTTCACACCACTTTTGCCAATTCAGATTTTTAGATGTGTCTAACTTATTGTGGTGCTGGAGGATCAGCACTGGATTGCGAACCAAAAGGTTAGCAGTTCAAACTCACTAGCAGCTCCTCAGAAACCCAATGTAGGGTTGCTATGAGTTGAAACTAACTTGACGGCACTTAACAGCAATTTATCGACGGCAATTGAATTAATGCTTTTTAAAAAAATTGTTAACCATTTTGAAAGCTAATTTGCAGATATCATGCTTTCCCTTTTAATCTTAAATATCTTCACAGTATGTTTTGTAAGAACACCAGCTATTGTTATTTAGTTTGACCCTCAAATTGCCCCAGATTTAGTTTGTGGGAGCCTATTTTGTATAGTTTCTGAATCCTTTGTTTAAAAATCAACTTTACTGCAATGTAACTTACAAATATTATAGTGCATTTATTAGTATAAATTTCTACCCATGGTTATATTATCTTTAACAAGGTTCATAAATTATCCATATGTAAGTGAATCTTGTTTCATTAATTTCTGGCTAATCTACTTTTGGCAAGTGTATAATTATGTTTATGAAATTAGTATGCTTTTTTGCCCTGTCCTGATATGGTGTTGTGGGATAAAGCAGTGGGTCTCAAGGTCTGTTTGAACTACAAGGTCAATAGTTCAAATTCACCAGCCACTTCTTGGAAATCCTATACAGGGTCACCTCTATTAGTCCATGGCACACAACCACGACCACCACCACAGGGAAGACCAGTTAACATGACTGTTAAAATATCCTCACCAACCACTAATGCAAAAATGAGGACATTGAAGACTCTTATCAACTTCAGCAGTCTTTAGTTGATCCAATATGCCTGATAATTACTAGTAATTGGAATGTGAAAGTTGGAAACAAGAAGGAAGGAAAATACAGCCTAAGTGATAGAAACAAAGCCAAGAGATTGCATGATATAATTTATTCATTGTAAATACTTTTTTCAGTAACATAAGTGTGGACATTGCTGGATGAAATATGCAGGAACCAAAGCAACTACATCTGTGGATAGAGACAATTGAGAAGCTTAATATCATCAATGAAACCAAGGCCAGAGTCCTACTACAGAGCAGAACTCAGCAGGGTAAAGCTGAAGGAAGCTATAAGTCCACGAGATCCAAAATATGACCTAGTACCTCAGTTTAGATATTATCTCAACAGTAGATTTGACACATTGAACACTAATGACTGAAGACCAGATGTGTTGTTGTGAGATGATGTCAAGAAACCAAAGGTCCTACTTTGGTCATGTTATAAGGGAGGAACCAATCTCTGGAGAAGGAAGTCATACTTGGTATAGTTAGAAAAGAAGAGGAGGGTCCTTAGTAAGATAGCCATAGTGAGCTCAAACCTAGGACTGATTGTGAGGATTGAATAGTGTTATACTGTGAGTTGGAACTGACCTGATGCCACATAACAACTATAGCAATCTTTATGGAAGCTGACTTGAAATATTCTTTCATGGTTTTAATTTTTTCTTTTTTGTGGTCAACAAGCCGAAAACCATTTAATGTATGTGTGTGTGTATGTGTGTGTATATATATATAATATATACTTACATACATTGTTAGTACCACTGAGTCAGTTCCAACTCATAGTGACCCATAGAGGGTTTCCAAGGAGCAACTGGTGATCTTGAACCATTGACCTTGTGGTTGTATCTGATCTTGAAGTCTAGCACATTAACCTGCAGTGCTACACCAGGACTTTATGTTGTTAAGTGCCACCATATATATAATTTATATCATTATGATTTCTTTGTGTGTGAGCACGTATGTTAAACTTAAATGAGAAAATGAATTCTAGATGTAATTCTTATATTTTACTATAGATATCTTCTCCCAGGTTTATCTTTTCATTTCTTTTTTCTTTACAAAAAATTTCTATTTGTCTTAAATAGAAACATTTTTTCCTTAAACATTTTGTGAAAATTTCTTGATCTTTTATGTAAAGTTGTCAAAAGTACAGGTTTTTAAAATGTGTTATTTTATTCATTAAAATGCATTCTTTATGTCTCAAGACTTCAATACCATATTTTATACCAGAGAGATTTTGACAAGTTCCACTTGGGTCTTTTTAAAGCCTTATTGTTATCAGCTCGTTACAGATTGAGAGGTTGTTAATCATGTTTTCATAATCCTGTTATGTATAATTACAAATTAAAATATATTTTTTATTTTGTAAAGGTTGGAGGCGAGATAGAGAAAAGCGAGATGATCAAGATGAAGTTTCCAGTGTGAGAAGTGAGGGTGGTAATATCCGAGGTTCCTTTAGAGGACGGGGAAGAGGACGAGGAAGAGGACGAGGAAGAGGAAATCCTCGATGTATGACATAACTTTTTGTTTTGTCAGGTTTGATGAATTTTGAAAGAATGTGCAAGTTTTCTGTTAGTTTTCCTCACTATACTTAATTATGTTTTGCCTGATTTTTTTTTTAAATAAAGATAGTTTTGTATTTGTTACACTTTAAAATATTTCACTTGGAATTTATCTGTAGTAACTAGTTCTTCCTTATTTTCTTTTAATCTGTGACCACTTTTTATTTCTTTTCTTCTTTATCCACATCAAGTGAATTTTGATTATTCGTATGGTTATCGCGAACATGTTGAAAGGACGGATCAGCCATTTCAAACAGAACTTAATACCAGTATGATGTATTACTATGATGATGGTACAGGCGTACAGGTGTATCCTGTGGAAGAAGCATTGCTTAAAGAGTATATTAAGCGCCAAATGTAAGTTGGTATCAGACATCAACAGATAAGGTGCTCAGATTTGGTGCAATTTCAATCCTTAATATCATTGACAGTGAAGACCTTATAGTGCATTTTCTAACCTATTAATAAAAGTTGGAGAATGTTTATAGTATTTTGTACTGTTTTTGTATATTTTGTGCTATCAACTTTCTAGTTAAAATGGGTAAAATTTGTTTTTATGTAGTTAATGTTATTTAATAAGTCTTCTGCTTTACATGGAGTCCTGGTGTGATGCTGTAGGATAAGCAGTGGACCACAAGGTCAGTTTGAACTGTAAGGTCAGCAGCTCAAATTCACTGGCTGTTCCATGGAAACCCTTTACAGGGTCGCTATGAGTTAGAACTGACTTGATGGCATTTAACAACTGTCTTATATGTTGTTTAGGTATTTTTCTGCTTAAAGAACCTTTGTTAAAATGTGATGGCATAATACTAGCAATGAAATATAATACAAAACTTCTGTATATACTTGGTGGTGATGGTGCATGTTATTGAGTTGGTTCTGACTCATAGTGACCCTGTTTAGAGTTTCCAGGGCTGTAAGTCTTTATAGGAGCAGAAAGTTTTTTTTCTTGCAGAGCAGCTGGTAAATTCCATGGAGCAGTTGGTGTTTTTGAATTCTTGACCTTGTTGTTAGCTGTCCAGTGCTTATCGTACAGCACTCCCATATATACTAGTGGTGGTGGTGGTGTGCTGTCGAGTCATAGTGAGTCGATTCTGACTGATAGCAACCCTGTTGAGATTTCTGTGGCTGTAAAGCAGAAAGTCTCATCTTTCTCTTGCGGAGCAGCTGGTATATTCAAATTACTGACCTTGCAGTTAGCAGCCCAACTCTTAACCCACTGTCCTACCAGGGCTCCTCCTGTATATACTCTTGTTATTAGTGCCTTCAAGTCAGTTCTGACTTACAGGGACCCTATATAGAGTTTCTGAGGAGCAGCTGGTGGGTTTGAACTCCTCCTGACCTTGTGTTTCAGAAGTCCAGTGTTTACCCTATACCAATGTCTTCAAAAGCTCTTGGAAAAATTTCATTATCTTTTAATTCTGTTGAGATTTGTTAGAATTTGCAAGTGTATATAGATGACAAATCAATGTTAGATATCTTGACCTTTTAGCAATTGACTTGAATTTTATGTTTGCTTGTATCTTTTAAAATAGCTTTCTTTGTGACACACATTACAGAGGGAGACAACTTAGTCTTTTATTTTTGACTTTGTACTCTAGTTCTCATAGTAGTTGCTTTCTGGCTACTGCAAGTTGAAGTTAGGAAAGTATTTGTTTTTTTGTTTATAAGCACTCTCTAGGATGTCTTTCATATTTATTTGGTGGTGATGGTGTGGAGTCGCTTCCGACTCATAGTGACCCTGCAGAGGGTTTCCAAGACTGTAAAATCTTTATGGGAGCAGAAAGCCTCATGTTTCTCTTGCGGGAATGGCTGGTAGTTTTGAACTGCTGACCTTGAGGTTAGCAGCCCGACTCATAATATGTTAACAATGATTTACATAATTAATAGTCTGGAATTTAAAGTTTCCTTTTTATATGCTTTCAAGGAGAAGGAAAAATAATTAGGCTGGTTTTGAAAGGATATAACCTTTAAAAACATCTCTCTGCTGTTTGTTGTTGTTGTTAAGTGCTGTGGAATCAGTTCTGACTCATAGAGACTCTGAATAGGGTTTCCTAGGAATAGCTGGTAGATTTGAACCATGAACCTTGTGGTATGCAGTCCACTGCTGGTCCTACAGCGCCACACAAATAATTTCATCAGCATCAGCTGGGCACTTTCCTGGAATGACATCATACTGGATTTAATTGGCTTACAATTTCAAGCAATTTGTTTATTTTGTTCTTGGTTCTTTTGTTACAGTTGATGCAAACACTGAAGAAAAGGGCCTTTTTATGGGCAGAAAGTGCCTGGCATGTGGCTATCAACTTCAAACCACTATCTTTTTTTTTTTTTTTTTTAACTCTTGTTGCCCAGGTCCCTTCTGAGACCTGACAGTGGACATGCAACTCCATGTCAGAATAATCGGCCTCCACTGTGCTCACACAAGTGAGGGAGGAGCAGAGCTACTTCATTGTTGACAAAGTGTCTGATCATGCAGTGTAGAATCCAGAGCTTCTAAGGTAGGACATGATAATGTCCCCTATGACACTGAGCAAAATATCAGAATCAGCCTTGTTCGTGACTTTTTTTGTTATTGTTTTAGGCTTTTTGTAGTAGGATTTCTGGCAAATAGTAATAGAATATAAGGTTTATATGGCTCCTTAATGTTTTGATTATTTTATTAGTGGAGATCTGGCTTTCAGGAGTCATGCTTTTGAATTGGTGTTATTAAGGCTTCTCATTCCTGGATAAGCTCATTGATTTAGTATTTAGATTTTTTTTTTATCTGAGAAGTCACCGAAAAAGTTTTTCTTGCATTTGTAGAAAAATGATGCTGACTGGTTTTTAAATTTCACATAAAAATCCTGAACCATTCTAAATACATGTATCATTTGAAGTGAAAATTTATATAACTTATTTTTATGTTCCAATAATAAAGTTTCAATTTTGATATTTCTAGCTGGGGAGTGTTTTTCGGCATTTGGATATACGGGTTTCGTTTGTACCCTATTAAAAGGTGTTGAAATATATATACTATAGATATCAGGGTGATTTATGTATTTATTTACATGTTTTGGTTTTCAGAAAATAATATATTAAGAGGACAGCTTACTTAAAAGAGTTTGCATATAAGAACAGTTTTAACTTGTGAGTGAGCCAAATATCTTAATGTCTATAAATTAGAAATTAAATTCAGCACATGTATTCTGTTCTTGGATTCTTGGAAGAATGGCCTGGCAATTTGCTTGCGAAAGGTTGCAGCCATGAAACCGTGTGGAGTAGTGTTCTTCCTGATACACATAGATTGCCATAAGTGGGAGTTGAATTGACAGCATCTGGTTGGTGATCATTTGGCTGGCTATTACATGTCTACCACATGCCAGGCACCTTCACACGAGGCTTTTGATGTGTAGCAAAGTCAAAGGTTAATTTCTTAGATCTACAGATTCTTCTTCAGTGTTTTAGGAAGAGTCAGTGATTTACTAATGTTACTAATATGTTAGCATTACTTTGCTGATATTAAATTTAAGTGGCTAAAATTCTCTTGAAAAGACCATTTAAGGGGACTTCACACTTTGGTATTTGGGTGAGGATAAATATCAAACTAGAAAGAAACAACTTGGATATTTTAAGGGATATGAGTTTACTCTGCAACAATCCCCGTCCCCCCAATGAAAAGTAGCTGTCAGTTGCCACGTTTTTCAAGAGTAGAATTTGATTTAAATGTATGACAGGCAGGCATCCATAGTCAACAAGGTATAGAAACGATTTGATATATTAAGCTGTAGGCCTTAAGGTTAATGATGTCATGTATTTCTGTTGTAATTTTTTTTCTTTTCTACATTGTTCCATATTTATCTGGATCTGCCTTTCTAGAATTAAATAAAATGTAATATGGAAGTATAATTAAAGCACAGGCTATTAAATGTGGTCATATTCTTTTTTGCATATATCTTGGAATTTATAGTTACTAATCGTATGACTTGTTCATTTACATTTATTTTTTGAGAATGATTAAGTGAGTCTGTACTTAAAATTTCTAAGCTTTTTTCTGTTTTTCCCTTTTATACCTATCAAGAGACCTTGTTTAGCTATAGTATATTTTGTTTATTTTTGTTACACTTTTGTCCTTGACTCAGATGTCAAGAGCATTTGAGTCATTAAGCTATAAATTATGTGTGCAGTGTTTGCTATGCCTTGTGTTAATTACTAGGTTGAAAAGTATAAAAAAATGTTAGTAAGTACTGACGTTTTAGAAAATTATCTCTGCTGTATAGATAAAATGAACTTGACAAAGTACTTTTATTCTCTGTAATGAGAAAAATTTGGAAGTCAGCTTATTGACATGTATTGAGCTTTGCTTGGTCTTTAAATGTTTTAAGTTTTTATTGTGAATTGAGTGATAATTTACATGGGATAATTTACACGGGAGAGCATCAGCTTTACTTTCGTCCTATCATATTTAGTTTCATTGCAATGACTACAATCCCTCTGTTGCATCATCATTCAATAACATTTGCTTCCAATCCCTCTGTTTTTGTTTTGTTTTGGATATACATGAAAGTACTCAGGAATATATAACTATTCAAACACTCCACAAGCCAGACTCCTGGCCATCAGCACACAGATCCTCTCCCTCCCTGAGCCAGAGTCCCCAGTCACTCCATCTCTCCACGTCATCGTCTCTGCCTCCATCTCTGGTGTCGCTGCTTCTCTGGATAGGGAACTCTTCTCTCCACTCTTCTCCTTTAATAGTGTCAGGGTCCACCACTCCTGGACTGCAAGATCAACCACTCCCCTCTTTTTGTTACAAAATGTAGTAGAACTAATTTTGTAGTGATTTTACTTAATTTGACTTTATTAACAAAGTAATTGAACATTTAATACTTAAAATTACCTAATTAATTTGTTATACTTAGGTAGAACTGATCCAAATAAAAGTTACGGTCTTAGAAAGAATAATTCTCTGGTAGAAATGAAATTATTAACACTTTTTTTTGTTTGTTTTTTTAATTACTTTGCATAAATTATGTATTATAATGCTATTAACCAAATAGGATATTTTAATACCAATGGATGTCACAAGCAATCGGTGTTTTTCTTTCAAATTGAATAAATAAATGAAACAATTTACTTTTCTCTTTTTCTCTTCAGTGAATATTACTTCAGTATAGAAAATTTGGAGCGAGACTTCTTTCTTAGAAGAAAGATGGATGAACAAGGTTTCTTGCCTATTTCCTTGATTGCTGGTTTCCATCGTGTTCAAGCTCTTACTACAAACATTAATCTCATATTAGAGGTAATTGTACATGTCTAGAAATTAAAACAAATTTTAATATGGAGCTATAATTAAAGCACATATTTTTTAAAGTACTGGGTCAATAACCACAAAGTCAGTGGTTCAAATCGACCAGCTGCTCCTTAGAAACCCTTTGTAAGGTTGCTATGTGTCAGAACCTACTCCATGGGACTTAACAATGTATTTAGTGGGAGTCCTGGTATAGTGTGCTATAGGATAAGCACTGAATTGCTAACTGCAAGGTTGATGGTTCAAACATTTCCACTCCTTGGAAACCCTATAGAGGGTTGCTATGACTTGAAACCAACTTGATGGCACTTAACAACAATGCACATTTAATAACTAATAACTATATATTAACAACAACAACAACAAAAATACTTGCCTAAGACTCAGACTATATATATCTCCTATCTTTTATCCATTTTGTAAAAGCCAAATGTATGACTTTGGAAAACCTCTCAACTCATTTAACAGGGATCTTGGAATTATTAACAGAATATACTATAGAAGTTACTGCTTTTTTCCCCTCAGAAAATGGCTAGGGAGGCTAATTGAAAAAATAAAGGTAGTGGTGAATGGAGAAAAGGAGAGCCGTTTAATGAGAGGGTATTTGTTGAAAAATAACAATGGATATTTTTTCTAAGAATCCCTATATGTAGAGCCCTGGTAGTGCTTCTGTTTTTGAACATTTTGAGTCGATAGTGGGATCTGAAGTTAATTTTTAAAGCTTTGTAATTTTTTTAAAGCTTGGTGTTGTCTGCTAGTGCAGAGTAAGTGTATGCTTCAGAAAGTGTGGAACGAGCCAATTCTCCCATAGCATTCTTTACTCAGATGGGTTAAATAATTCATTGCAATGGCCACACAGAACTCAGAGCTCACAGTTTTTAACAACCATTGATCTGATTTCCATCTCTATAATTTTGGAAGCAGCAGTCAAGAGATCAGACGACCTATTGCATTAGGCAGATCTGCTGCACAGAAACTTTTTAAAGTGTTGAAGAGCAAAGATGTCAGCTTGAGGACTGAGATACGCCTGACCCAAGCCATGGTATTTTCAATAACCTCATATGGATGTGAAAGCTGGACAGTGAATAAGGAAGATCGTAGAAGAATTGATGCCTTTGAATTGTGGTGTTGGAGGAGAATACTAAAAGTACCATGGACTGCCAAAAGAACCAATAGATCTGTTTTGGAAGAAGTGCAGCCAAGAGTGCTCCTTGGAGGCCAGGATGGCTAAGCTTCGTCTAGCAAACTTTGGACATATTGTCAGGAGGGAACAGTCGCTGGAGAAGGATGTCATGCTGGGTAAGATGGAGGGTCAGAGAAAAAGCGGAAGACCCCCAATGAGATGGATCGGCCAGGTGGCAGCATTGATGGCATCAAGTGTGGCAGCGGTAGTGAGGTTGGCCCAGGATCGGACTCGTTTTGTTCTGCTGTGCATGGGGTCGCTATGAGTCAGTTCCGACTCGATGGCACCTGACAACAACAATTATGCAGCTTTTTGTTATTTGACTTTCACGTGAGATAGTGCTTTTGAGATTCATTTAGTTTGTTGCATGTATTGGCTGTTTGTTATTTCCTTCATTATATGCAGGTACCCACAGCTGATCCATTTATTTGATAGATATGTAGTGGGTCTTACTGTAGTTTAATTTGTTTCATTAATTTCATAATTACTGTTGCCACTGCATACCTTATTTGTTGAAATGTTTATTCGAATCTTTTTTAAATTTATAATCCTTATAATGTTATTTTTAAGTGCCATTAAGTCAGTTCTGACTCTCAGATACCTAGTTTGGGGTTCTGAGGAGTGATTGGTGGGTTTGAACTGTTGACCTTTTGGTTAGAGTTCCACTGCTTATCCTACAGGGCCACACCAGGACTCCACATAATAGATTTTTATTATTTATTTTGGATATAAATACTTTTTATTTTACAGAAAGTTTTTAACATTCTTTGGTCTTTTCATTTTCTTAATAGGCTACTTTTTTTCAGAAACAAAACAAACACAAAACTTTTTATTGTAAATTGACTGAAGGCTTACAGTCAAGATCATCAACTTTACATTCAACAAATCATATACTTTGTTTTATCTCAATGATTACAGTCTCTTGCATTCAACAACAGTTACCTTGTTTCTTCCTTGGGTTCCTGTTTGCATCCCACCCACCTTTCCATCCCTTCTCAGCTTTGTCCTTAAGAAAACATTACCCCTTTGCTTTTTTAAAAAAAAAAAAATGTTTTATTGCAAATTGTATGATAGTTTACAGGGGAGGACATTAGCTTTATATTCATCCTGTCTTATATCGTTTCATTGCCATGGTTACAATCCCTTCTATGCGTCATCAGCCAACCAAAGGGTATACCCCACAAGCCTGCTCCTCGGTCATCAGCACACAACCCCTCTCTCTCTCTGGGTCTTAGAGTCCCCAGCCACTCCACCTCTCCATGTTATCGTCTCTGCCTCCATTGCTGATGTGACTGTTTCTCTGGGTAGGGTCCTGCACTCTGCCCTTAATGGTCCCAGGGACCTCTGCTCCTAGACTGCAAAGTTAATCACTCCCCTCCTTGCTACAAAACGTCTGCCTTTACATTTCCAACCCTCACAGTCAATCCTGATAGAAATTATTCACTATTGTACCACAAGAGTCCTATCCCCGTCTCCTTTCATCAGCCCAGACTGATTGGATACTACTCAGTGGAGATTCTACCTTCCTCCATGCCCTCTGGATCTAGGATTCCTCTTGAAAGCATGTAAGCCAGTCACTTCTTGTCTTTGTAGCCTCCCCATGTTGGTTAGCCAATGTTCAAGTTGCTCATCCCTGTCTACCCTGGGTATCCAGGGGTTGAGAATGATCCTCGCTATAAAGATTTGATTTGTTTCTTCTTTTGAGCTACTGCGTCCATAGGTGAGCCTTTTTGCTTTTGAATGATTGACCATTCCATGGTGACCATACCTTACTACTGTTGTTATTCTCCACTATTAACTTTGCTTGGCTGAAAAATCATGCCAGTAGAGTAAATAAGTTCCTTTCCAGACCTGAAAGATGGTTGAGAGCTGTAGTCTCAGGTTCCTCCATTCTCTTTCTGACCATAAATGCTTTTTTAAAAAAATTCTTCTTATTAAATAATTTTGTGTTTTGTTCCACATTTTCTCCCACTCTATCTGGGACCTGCTGATGTGATTCTTTTTAGAGCAGTTGATAGTGTTAGCCAGGCACTGTCTAGTTCTTCTGGTCTCAGACTCATAGGGATTGATGTTCACATGTTCAATTAGTCCACTGGACGAATTGATTCCAAGTCTCTTCAATTCTTACCACTCTTTTTTCTTCCCCTTAAGCACCAATAGCTGCGTCTTACACGCCACTCATGAACTTTCAAGACCCCAGATACTGCTCACCATAGTATAATGTAGGCCATTGTCTTTTTGAACTATCTTATACCTATTGACTGGTGTTCCTGAGACTATGGTCCTGTAGCCTTCTTTTTTAAATAGCAAAAAATTTGAATATATGTGTACTCCATGCTGTAAAATCCAACTATAAGAAAGTCCAGTTTTGTCTAAACAACACAAAGTAATGATCTGATATTTATTAATATATAATTAATGGTTTCAAGAAGTGCTGTTTTTGCATTTGCTGTTTCGAGATAACCTGTCTTGTGCTTTGTAGTATTTTGATATTTTTAAATTTGCTTTGTGGCTTATAATGGGGTATTCTGGAGAATGTGTGCACTGGAAGAGAATGCTGTTCATTGGAGTGCTCTATAAGTATATGAGGTGAACTTAGTTGACTGTGTTTGGTTTTTTTGTTCCTTTTCTGAGCTTTCTAGTTCTGGCCTTCATCCAAAGTGGTGAAAGGGCAACTGGTTATGAGAGTTCTGCTCATTAATTGCTGACCAGGGACTGGCACTGCAAGCTCTGCTGCTGTGAAGAACAGCACTTCCAGATGTGAGGGTGGTACATCCACTGCAGGACTCACAGCAGGGGCTTTACAGGTAGTGGGTGAGGGTATGGAGGTTATCAGGAGAATGTGGGAACAAGAGAGAATTGTGTATTTCTGTCATTAGTCACTGGTGTGTGTGTGTGTGTGTGTGTGCTTGTACCATCAGGCTATCTGGAAAAGTTTGCAAAAGTTTAAGATTGCCAACAGTTCACCTTCCATCTGTCTCCTCTCTCACCATCCCAATTCAGTTTGTACTCCCATTCAGTATTCACTCCACTTCTCCAGCCTTTCTTCTTAAGCTCTGGTTTGCACAGTTTTGTTATAGATGGTCTGTGTAACACAGCATATCTGCCTACTTTACCATCTTGCCTGATTTCTGTTTTCTGTAATTTTATTCTTTGTGAGCAAAATATGATCACGATTCTATTCCTTTGCAAAAGTCCAGTTGATCTGTCTATTTCTATGAAGTTGCCACTGATTTCCATTTTCTCTACTTCTGGAGGAATCTGAATATAATTTCTTCATGGTATGCTTATTTGGTCTATTTTTAAGCACAATTTTAAGATGATTTAGCTTATGTTCCCCAAATCTGTAGCAATACAGAAGGGATATGTAAAAGGAAATTTTGTGCTTTGTTACTGCTGTTGGAGTTGATTCCTACACAATAACCCTCTTACAGGTTTTCTGAAGCTTTTAGTCTTTATGGGACCAAACAGCTTCATATTTCTCCCATAGAAAAGCTGGTGGGCTTGAACCATTGACCTTGTGGTTTAAAGTCCAGTGCTTACATATGGAGCTCCCACTCTCCCTAGCTGCTACTATGGTTAGCGTTATTGATATAGCAACTGATGGTACAGTAAGAAATAACCATGGAAGTGAAAAGGAGAAACACTACTATCAGACCAGGGATCACACATATGAATTGCAGCATTGATATTTATTCAAAATAACTGGTCTTTATAATTAAGAAAAGGACTAGTACTACTAGCTAGTCAACTGAAAACCTCAGGTACCTAGAAACATTAACTATATACTGTACCTCATTCTTAGGAATTCAGGATAAGCAAGGTTTGTTTTTTATTATTATTATTTTTTTCATTAATATTTTGCTGTGTTTTCTTGAAGGTTTACACAGCAGTTTTAGGTTTCCATTCATCAATATCTACGTGGATTGTTCAGTGGTGTTGGTTTCATTCTTTTCAATGAGGGAACAGTCTCATGTTTCTGTGTGGTTGTTTCCATTTATCTGATTTGTTATATAGCAAGGTTTGGTTTTAATAAAAATACATCTAACTCTGTTTTGTTTAGGTGTTTCCCTCAATTTTGTGTATGGTATAAACCAGAAAATCAAACCTACTGCCATTGAATTGATTCCAACTCATGGTACGCCTATAACACAAAGTAGAACTGCCCCTTAGGGTTTCCAAGACTATTAATCTATACAGGAACAGAAGGTCTCACATTTCTGTGGAGTAGTGGGTAGCTGTGAACTACTAATCTCCAGTTAGTAGCCCGGTGCACCACCTACCAGGGTTGCTTTTATGTGGTCCTTCTAAGGCTTAAATCATGACCTACCTCTTGAATTATCTTTAAAACAGTAGCTCCAATAAATAAATCAGGCTTTTTAATGGTAAGCGTTATTTGCTTACATAACAGTACAATAGTAATTCAGATATTCTCCTGCACTTCCAAATTAAAAAGTTTTTGATGAATATCCTGTTTTTCTGCAGCCTTCACTATTGAGTGGTACTAGCAGTCATTGGTGATCTTTACTTAATTGAATTGGTGATTGCAAAAATGGGCATTTTCTTATTCTTTCATTACTTCTACATGTATTTGGAGTCTTGGTGAGGTGCTGTAGAATAAGCACTAGACCGCTTACTGTAAGGACAACAGTTCAAATCCACCAGCTGCTCCTCGGAAATCTTATATACATGGTGCTATTAGTAGGAACTGAATAGATGGCATTTAACAACAACAACATGTATTAGCTGTCATTCTTCTTTAAAGAATGACTTTTTGTAGGTGGAGCGTCTTCTAGTCAGTGCCTGTATTTTGATTTATTCTTTTATTTTCTAACATAAGATGTTTCCATTTTACCTTGTACTTTAGCTTTAAACTGGGAACGTACCCTTTTTGTAAGGAACTGCCGTATCTTTTTTTTTTTTTTTAAAAAAAGGAAGGCTCGTGGTGCTGTAGAATCAGCTTGGACTGCTAACCATAAAGTCAACAGTTTAAACGCACCAGTTGCTCTGCAGGAGAAAGATGAGACTTTCTGCTTCCGTATAATTTTACAGCCTCAGAAACCCAGTGGTTCAGAATTGAATTGATGGCAGTGGGTTTGGGTTTTGGTCTTCTTTTTAGTGTGGAACGTTAGAGTCTAAGTTCTGGATGCTAGACATATTCTTACCTGCTTGAGTATATGGACTAAATTAGAAAACATGTTTGGAAAAAAGACTTTTTATATCAAGGTTTGGTTTTAATAAAAATATCTGTATCATTTCAAAACCATCAACATTGTATTCTTTATGTTCCTCCAGTCTGTATTTCACACTTCTATTTTTTCAATGAAAACCCTGATTCCCATGAAGGAGTTTGTTTTGAGTATATTCCAATCCTAATATTAAAGTAATATTTATAGAATATATAAGTCGAGGGTTAAGTATTGTACTTAATTAATGACTTTTGGTAAGGTGCTTAAAGCAATACATAGAACATGTTTGTGAATTAAAATACGGTGAGTTTTAATTTTTATATTTAATTCATAAAAGGTAAGTATCCTTGAATTTCAGTTGTTATGTTGTTGTTATGTGCCATCGAGTCGGTTCCGACCCATAGCGACCCTGTATAGGGTTTCCGAGGGTGTAAATCTTTACGGGAGTAGAAAGCCTCATCTTTCTCCTGCAGAGCAGCTGGTAGTTTCAAACCGCTGACCTTAAGGTTCGCAGCCCGATTCGTAACCACTACGCTACCAGAGCTCCTTTAGACTTCAGATAAATAAGGCTTTAATATTTATTTTGAAGAAGTTTGAGTTTTATTTTATCCTTAGACCATATCAGCTATTTGTGAAAGGCACTATAGCTTGATAACTAAGAGTTTAAGTGATGGACAGATCATGATTTGATTCCTGATGCTGCTGTCCCACATTAGGACTGTCATCTTTGTCAAGGTTTTTTTTAACCTGTATCCTCATCTTATAAATTAGAGGTAATACATGCCTTGCAGTTATTGAGATATTGAGTATGTGTGTATCTGTGTGTGCTTGAGTGTGTAGTTATCATCTAATAAATAGTACTTGTTATTGCAATGATAAAAAGCCTGAATTTTATTTAGTGATAATATTTCTAGGGAAGTTGGAAGGAAATATGAAACTGAATTAAAAATGACTGTAAAACTTAATTGAGAGTAAAAGTAGTTTTGTTGCTGTAATAATCTCTGGTAGCGTAGTGGTTACGAATCGGGCTGCGAACCTTAAGGTCAGCGGTCCGAAACTACCATCCGCTCCGCGGGAGAAAGATGAGGCTTTCTACTCCCGTAAAGATTTACACCCTCGGAAACCCTGTACAGGGTCGCTATGGGTCGGAACCGACTCGATGGCACTTAACAACAACAACAACAACAATCTTCAAAAGAACTATAAATTTGAAAACCAAATGGTCTGTTTCAGTAAGTGTTTTCAGGATATTTTTATTTTATCAAAGGAAAATGTTTTAAAAATTTATTCTGTTTTTGATTTAAGTACTTGGAATACTACATTTTTTGGGTATTGAGTGAGGGTTTAGAGAACAGATTATCAGTCCTACATTCAACATATATATACTTTGTGTCATTATAGTGATTACAATCTACTTCATGTACCATCAGTTAACAATATTTACCTCTATTCACCTTTTCTCCCTCCTCTCACCGCCCAACCACCCTGTAAACATTATAGAATGTTTCATATAGCAAGAATATCATATAAGTTCGTGGTTATCAGTCCAGTGCTTATCTTAGAGTGATACACCAGGACTTCATAACAAACACACAGGACTGAAAATAGGAGCCAGAGAGATATCAATTTATAATGAAATTCAGCGAACTTCAAAGCAAAAAGATGCACTAGTGTAGATACAGGACTCCAAAATGCCAAGGAAGTCAAATGGATTGCAAGATAAAGCAGACTGTTTTAAACACTGCAAAAATTAATAAATTACAGGATAATCTCAAAGAAAATTTATATACCATCACACACAAAAAAAAGGAAAATCAGAAGATTTAATAAACATTGACACAATGAAAAGAAAACCCACAAACAAAAGGATCTCAGCTCAAAATATCATGTGGAACAAAGAACCAGCAGCACCACAATATCAAAACAAACACAGGAAAATGATAGTAATCAGTTCACACCTACTGATAATTACAGTGAGTACAAATGAATTGTACTCAATTCAAGAGACAGACTAGATTAGAAAACAGGATCCTTCAATATGCTATTCATAAGATTCATTAGAATGATGGAGACAGCCTAAATGCCCATCAACAAGGTCCCAAACTTTGGTACATTTAGATAATGGAATACCACTCAATGTTGAAAAATATGATGTATCTCTGAAACACCTCACATCATGGATGAACCTGGAGGACATTATGCTGAGTGAAATTAGTCAGTCACAGAAGGACACATATTTCATGAGACCACTGTTATAGAAAGTTAAGCTAAAAAAAAACATTCCATGATGGATACAGGGTAGTTAGAAAACTTGTATGGGTATTACTAGAAGCATTAACTATATTAAATACAGGATATTTAAGCTGTGGGAGATTTTAAGTTCTTTAATATCTCAATTTTCATATTTGATAGGCTTTAAAAGATAGTACAGAAGTGGAAATTGTGGACGAGAAGATGAGAAAAAAGATAGAACCAGAAAAATGGCCAATTCCTGGCCCTCCTCCACGTAGAGTGCCACAAACAGACTTCTCTCAACTGATTGATTGCCCAGAGTTTGTACCAGGCCAAGCCTTTGCCTCACATACAGGTAACAGCTGTTCTTTCTTCTATAGTAGACAGTGCTATTTGGTCTAACTTATCTATCCTCTTTTTTTAGTTTACTTGAATTCAGTAGAAAAGAAAAAGATAGCTAAATGACTCTTTGATGTTCTAAATTCTGTTTGTATTGCCCCCCCCCCCCACAGAGCTATATATTAAATAGGGATCTAGAAATTATAGGTGACACATTTTTGTATTTATTGTTGTTAAATTATTTGTATACTTTGCAGAATGTGGATTTTCTCATTTTTCCTTTTAACTTTATAATAATTAGATATACCAGTTTTTCCCTTTTAAGTTCAGAATAGTCTAGATATTTATTCTCAAAGGAAAAGACTTATGTAATTAGGAATGGGGTAAAAAAAAAAACCATTGCCATCAAGTCACTCCTGACTCATAGAGACCCTATATATAGTATAGAGTATAACTGCTCTTTTAGTTTATGAGACTCAAATCTTTACCAGAGCAAATAGTTTCATTTTTCTCCCACAGAGTGACTGGTGAGTTAGAACCACTGGCCTTGCAGTTAGCCAGCCCAGATCTTGACCAACAGTACAACCGGGGCTTCTCAGGAGTTGGGTGGGCTTCCTTTAAATTTTGCTTTTTTAAAAAAAAAAACTTTAATTGTGACTTGAGAGAAGATTTACAGAGCAGATCATCAGTTTTAATCTTCAATGAGTCATATACTTTGCTTCATTACAATGATTGTAATTGCATCCATATACCAACAGTTAGTATTTACTGTTATTCACTTTTAACTTTTTTTTGGCTTCCTTTAATTTTATTATCAATTTATTATAATTTTGTTTTGAAAAGACAAGCTACATTCTAAGGCAGAACTGAGGTTCTCTTATGAAATTAAAATTACAGATTTAAAATACAGTTACGTTTTTAATTTCTAAATACTGTTGTAACATTGTACTTTTTTTTTTTTTCCTGGATCATATTTAAGACATTTCCTCTTGGGAAAAAATATGTGTGCTTACACTTTTTTCAGTCAGGGTGATGATCTACTGATGCTTTTGGATGTCATTTGATCGGAATATGCATTGGAATAGGCGAATCACTGAAATATATAAATATTGGAGCAAGTCATGCTGCAGAAATGAAAGTGACCAGGACTGTCTTCTGTGCAAGAATGTCTGCCCCCAACTCCTTGGGAAGGAAGTAGTTGGGCCAGCACTACAGTGGAAAGAACCACCTTTGTGATGATGATGATGATGATGATGAGAGACAGACCAGAGGACTGCTATTGTTTTATGGGAGCTGCCCATTTGTGTGTAACTGCCCTGGGCTGCATGGGCTAATTTTATTTACTGTGAGAAACTTACTATCATCCTGGAAATATTACAAGATTCTTTTACTTCCAGAGTTGTGTACATTAATAATACAGAAATAGAATTGAATGGCATTTCCCAGAATTTTAGGTCCTTTTCTATTTGATTTACCCTTCAATATATATAGTGTACATTACATAATGCATATGTTGTCACAATGTTTCTCATGAACTATAAGATTTATCAATGTGGAATTTAAGGGATAAGATATTTAACAAATGAACTAGGGTATATTTTTCTTTACTTGTCCAAATGTATTTTTGATATATCAGCATAGAGATACGACCATCAATAAAAAGCACTGATGATGGATTTTTTATCTTGTTTTTCTTTGTAAATCCTCTGCTTATAATCCAAGAAAGCAATTAGGGCAGATGTTTCAATCTTTTTTTTTTTAAAGTATACAGTGGCTGATTGTGCAAGTTATATTTATTTATTGTGTAAACTTGGGGTCCAAGGTGACATTTTAACCTGCTATAAACAGGCATTGAACAAATTAGATATAATGGAAAATTGTTTCCACAGAGTAGGTAGCTAAGTTAGGTCAGTCAAGTTGGTGATACCTGTCCATTAACCATTTATGCATTATTAATAAAATTACAGGAATAAATCATTAATGTCTTGTACATTTTTTATTTTTTAATATAATATATGCTCAAATACATTCATGTATACATTTCCTGAAAAATAATTTTTATTAACTTTAGGCTGTTTAGATTATATAGTAGAATCAAAGTAAGATATAGAAAGATGGCATGTTTTTAGAGTTATTTTATTCCTATTAAAACATAGGAATAAGGTATCCCCAAATTTCTTTTTTAACAATAATTAGAAATAAGGTATAGAAAGCCTAAACTGTTGTTATGGGCACCTACGGATAGAGAAAAGTACTGAAACTTACCTGTATCCTTTTTATCTTAAGTTTCAAACCCAGCATCATCGAGTAGATTCAGAGTCATGGCAACCCTATGAACAGAGGAGAACTGCTCTTTAGGGTTTCTGAGACTATAAATCTGAAAGATTAGCAGACAGCCTCATCTTTCTCCCACAAAGTGGTGGGTTTGAACCACCAACCTAGTTAGCCAATGCTTAAACCAATGTGCCACCAATGCCTCATTATCTTAAATTTGTAGGTCCTTAATTTTTTAAAAATAATTAATTGTGAATTATGGTATAGTTTACATGGGAGAACATTAGCTTTACATTCATCCTATCGTATATTGTTTCATTGCCATGGTTAAAATCCCCTTCATGCATCATCAACCAACCAAAGGGTATATACCCTGCAAGCCTGCCCCCCAGTCATCAGCACACAGCCCCATTCCCTCTCTGTGTCTAGAGTCTCCAGCCTCTCCATCTGTCCACATCATTGTCTCTGC